TGGACCGGGCCATGCACTGTGCACACCAGACTTTGCACAGGGGCCCGTGCTGGCCCCAGCAGCCCGGTGTGTGAGCAGCGTCCCTTCCCCCCACTGGTATGTCACAGCCGATCAGCGCAGCGGGGCACTGAGGCCTGCGCCTGGGGCAGGGGCTTTGTGCGCGCTCCGCTCGCGGCCCGGCGTGGCTGGGCTCTGAGCCGCGGCCCCGGCTCCCCAGCCGCCCCGCCGAGCACATTCAGTTCCAGCAGGCTGAGCCTAATCCGAGCTGATGCCTTTTTGTTCAGCGAGGCCGGCTGCCCGGTAGCTGTTTCAACAACAGGCTGGAGCCGAGCGCTGCGTGGGAGCCAGCGGCTGACACGTCCACTCCAGGTGTTGGGGCCTGGGCCTGCCAGCACCTGGCCTGACCACCGGGGGAGAGGGCCTGGGGCTGTCCCCCTCGCACGGCCCCCAAATCTGGCATGTGCAGTGGGATGAGTCGGGGGCCAAGCGCAGCTGTCAGTCCCTTGACCCCCGTTGGCTCTGCCTGTCTGGCCTGTGCTCCCCTGGGAGCTGGCACCTGCTGGGTCCATCCCTCTGTCTGAAGTGCCCAGGAGGGGCGAGCAGGAATCTCGTCACCCTGTCCCAGCGCCCTCCCCCTGCAGGCAGTGCCAAGGCCTCCAGCACAGGAAATGGGCACAAAGGAATCTGTAAAGCCAACGCAAGCCACCCCCGAGTTCCCAGTTCCTTCCCTGGCGTTAGCTGGTGCTCTGTAACCAGCCAACATGACCCGACCCTGGGGACACGCACGGACTCTGGGAGAAGCCAGGGGCAGGGGAGGAGGGTGCAGCTCTCAGCATGTGGGGCCTGGCTGGGACCGTTGGGTGTCATGGCCCGGGAGCTCTGCCCCAGCTGCTGCTAAGTGTCCGGCTGCAGGAACCTCACCCCTCTGCCCAGGCAGCCGGCTCTGAGCCCACAGGCAGCACAGGCACTTGTCAGCCCCGGGCCAGACCTTCTCTGGCTGCTGGGTACAGTGGGCAGATGGTGGGTGTGGCTGAACTCTGGCTCCCCTTCCCCCACAGCCGCTCCGGCCAGGGTTTGGTGGGTGCGGAGGGGGTGCTGCTGTCCCCAACCTTCCCAGCTCCCTGCCCCTCCTGGCACCATGGCTGCTCCCCCACCAGCTCCCTGCCCCCTTGCTGGCCCCCCTTAGCCCTCCTGGCACCATGGCTCTGGGCCCACTCCCTGGCCCCTTCTCTCGCCCAGTTTCCTGCATGACGACTATGCTGTCCAGGTCTCCATCAATGACTACCTGGACATCTACTGTCCGCACTACGAGCACCCAGTGCCCGCGGGCCGGGCCGAGACCTTCAGCCTGCACATGGTGGACACCGAGGGCTACCGGGGCTGCTACGAGACGCCCAGTGCCCTCAAGCTCTGGGAATGCAACCGGCCCCATGCGCCCTTCGGGCCCGTCCTCTTCTCCGAGAAGATCCGGCGCTTCACGCCCTTCGCACTGGGCTTCGAGTACCAGCCGGGGGAGACCTACTACATCATCTGTGAGTGTCCCCCGGGCCCGCTTGTGCCCCCAGGGACCCCCCCAGGCCCTGCCAAGCGGGGCTGGCTCCAGGCGGAGCTGTGGGCTGGGTGCATGTGGGAGCAGCTGGGAGGCAGTGCCCTGGCAGGGGTTCTGTCCCCGTTTCCCCAGCCCGCTGCAGTGTGCCAGGTGGCCAGGAGGGGGCGCCCCTTGCCCAGATCTTGGCTGGGTACCCCTGCTCCAGCCAGCCAATGCCAGCTGCTCCCAAGAGCTCGCTGGCCCGGGCTGCCAGGGCCTGGGCTCTGAGAGGGGTGGGGAGTGGCTCCCCGGGGTCTCTCCCCCCCCACACCACAGGCCATCCAAACAACCTGCTGCTGTGCCTCCATGCTGGGTGGGGAGGTGGCGCTGGCGCAGCACCCCACAGGGGCCGGCCTGGGGGAGCGTTGGTCTACTCAGAGTGCGAGTGAGGAGTGGGCTGTCAGGGGCAGGGCTCCCGCGGGGTCGTAGCCTCACTGCTCTCCCCAGCAGCGCTGGCCGAGGGATGCGCACAGATCCCCAGTGCCCGGGGGGCGTGGCGGGCACTGCCCTGGGAATGGACGGGCCGGTGCCTGCAGGCGAGCCAGGGAGTAGCTGGGTCCGTTGGCGTCCCCCTGATGGTGACCCCGGCTGACCCTGCTTTTCCCCCGCCCCAAGGGAGGGGCTGGACTGATGTTTCCCAGCTGGGCGGGGGGCGGGGGCGACTCTCTTCTGCTGGGCCCAGGTGCTTCCTGCTGCACTAAGACCCCCGCCACGGAGCCGCCCGCCAGGCGCTTGGGAGCTGCTCATAAATCCCCCTCAATGGCCCCTGGAGGGGAGGGGTCTGAGTGGGCTGGGGGCTCCCGCGGAGTGGGGACTGGAGGGGGAGGGCCCTGGCCTTGCTGCCCGGATGCCTGGGTTCGGGGCAGGCCTGGCTCCCGGCTGTGCCCGTGTGGGCAGTGCCCTGATGTCCCTGTCTCTGCCCCCAGCTGTCCCCACCCCAGAGAGCGCCGGGCGGTGCCTGAGGCTACGAGTGGCCGTCTGCTGCAAGGCAACAAGTGAGTCCGTCTGGCCGGGCAACGGGGGTGGGGAGGGGCTGATGGGGGGGCGGAGCAGGCCCCCCCCCCTACACGGCAGGAGCTTGCTAATGGGACCCAGACGTGGGGTGGGCATGAGCCCTGGGGAGGGGGAGCCTGTTCTCAATCTATACTCTTCCCAGAATCCCTTGCGGCAGGAGGAGGGCGGCTCTGTCTGGGGGACTCCAGGTGTCTGGCTGGTTCCACCCTGGCGTGGGGGCTGTGCTGCTGGCACTGCGGGGAGGGGACCCCCGGTTCTCTCTGGCTCCCGCGGGGCGGGAGGGAGGTTGCTGATTTTGGAAGGAAATGCCATGGACACCCCCACACCCTGTGAGTGGGGGGCAGACGCACATTGGTGCAGGGAGGCTGGCCAGGGCCAGTTCCCAGGATCGGGGGGGGGGGGGGGGCCCAAGGGGCGGGGGGGGGGTTGGGGGGGGCTTCCTGTTGGAGACAGAGTCACTGACGGATTCTGGGTTTGATTTGTTTCCAGCAACAAAGCCTGTGACAGAAGTTCCCAAATCTCAGCCCCGTGGGAGAGGGGGGTCGGAGGGTGAGTATGTGTGTGTGGGAGTGCTACATGCCCCAGGGAGATGGGGGGGGAAGGGCAGGAGCGGGTCAGGGGGTGAGTATGTGTGTGTGGG